TATACTCACATATTGTTGGTCAACCTCAATTAATACAACCACTTTGGAAAGCAGTATACAGATTCCTCAAAGGTCTAGGAATGGAACCACTGTATGACCCAACTATCCCACTCCTTGGTATTTATCCAAAATAACTAAAATCATCATTCTATAGTGATACAGGCACATCAATGTTTTTAGCACTGCAATTCACAATATCCAAGTTGTTATGGAACCAATGCAGGTGTCTATCAACTAATGAATGGATAAAGAAAATGTGGCATATATACACAATGGAGTTTACTCAGCCATAAATTTTAAAAATGAAGTTATGGCATTTGCTGGTAAATGGATGAAACCAGAGAACATGAAGCTAAGGGAAATAAACCAGATTTACAAAGTTAAGGGTTGAAATACCTAGGAATAAATCTAATCAAGGAGGTGAAAGACTTCTACAATGAAAACTATAAAAATTGAACTAAGAAATTGAAGATCTCAGAAGATGAAAAGACCTTCCATATTCATGGATAAGCAGAATTAATATTGTTAAATATTGCAATATATAAATACAGTGCAATCCCCATTGAAATACCAATGATATTCTTTACATAACTAGAAAAATAATCCTAAAATTCATTTGGAAGAATAAAAGACCCAGCATAGCCAATGTAATTTTAAGCCAAAAGAGGCATCACAACACCTGACTTCAAACTATACTACAGAGATATAATAACCAAAAACTGGTTGGTATTGGCATAAAAATGGACACATAGACCAAAGGAACAGAATAGAAGACACAGAGGCAAACCCCTACAAATACAGTTATCTGATCCTTGATGAAGGTGCCAAACACATACACTGGAGAAAACAACAGCCTTTTAAACCAATGGAGCTGGGACAAGTGATCATTTATATTTAGAAGAATGAAACTAGACCCTTATCTCTCACCCTGCACAAAAATCAACTCCAAGTGGATCAATGACCTTGGAATTGGACCAGAAAGTATGCAACTCCTAGAAGAAAATGTAGGGTCAACACTCCAGCTTTTAGGCACAGGCAATGACTTTCTCAAAAGGACCCCTAAAGCTCAGAAAATAATATCAAGAGTTAATAAATGGGGCTGGGGATGTGGCTCAAGCGGTAGCGCGCTCGCCTGGCATATGTGTGGCCCGGGTTCGATCCTCAGCACCAAATACAAACAAAGATGTTGTGTCCACCGAAAACTAAAAAATAAATATTAAAATTCTCAAAAAAAGAGTTAATAAATGGGTCAGCATTAAATTAAAAAGTTTAGAATGGGAGAAAATCTTTGCTAGCTACTCTTCTGACAGAGGATTAATATATAGAATATATATAAAGGGCTCAAAAATCTTTACATCAAAAAATCAAGTAACCCAATTAATAATGGGCAAATAAAATAAAGAGACACTTCTCAAAAAAAAAAAAAAAAGAAATTCAAAAGGCCAACAAATGCATGAAAAAATGTTCAATATCATTAGCAATTAGGAAAATGCAAATCAAAACTACACTGAGATTTCATCTCACATCAGTCACAATGGTAGCCTTCAAGAATACAAATAATAATAAATGCTGGAGAGGATGTAGAGAAAAAGGAATACTTTTACATTATTGGTGGGACTATAAATTAGTACAACCGCTATGGAAATTAGTATGGAGGCTCTTCAAAAACTAGGCATGGAACCTCTATATGACCCAGGTACAACACTTCTCAGTATTTACCCTGAAAAAATAAAATCATCTTTCTATAGTGACACATGCATACCTATGTTTATAGCTGCACAATTCACAATAGACAAACTATGGGACCAACCTAGGTGTCCATCAATAGATGAGTGGATAAATAAAATATGGTATATATACACATGGAATTTTACTCAGCCATAAAGAATGAAATTATGTCATTTGCAGGAAAATGGATGGAAATAGCAACAATCATGTTATATGAAATAAGTCAAACTCAAAAAGTTTAGGATCAAAAGTTTTCTCTCATATGTGGAGCCTAGAGAGAAGAAAGGAAAACAATGGTGGAGGTGGATTTCCTAAAAATCAAGGGAAGATCAACAGAGAAAAAGGACCAAGGAGTGGGAGGCAGCGGGGGGAGGGGAATGCTAAAGAGTGATATTGACCAAAAAATAAATAAGTAAAAATAAAGAAATTTCTTTTTATTATAAATTTTTAAAAGAGTGATATTGGCAAAAATTACATTGTTATATTATGTGCATGAACAAATATGTGATAATTCTATCAATATTTCCAACTATAATGCACCCAAAAATATTGCCAAGGGTTGAATATTTTCTATCATATGCAGAAGCTAGAACAAACTAAGGGGGTGGAGATGGAGGGGAAGGAATCATGAACATCAAAGGGAGCTAAATGGAGTAGAGGAAGAGGATACAGGGGGAAGGAAGAGGGATGGTAAAAGGCAGGAAATGGAGAGTGAAATTGACCAAAGTATGCTACAAACACGTATGAATATACCACAGTGAATTCCACATTTAAGTATACCTATAAAGCACCAATTTCTAAAAAACAATAAGTGAATAGAAGGAATTCCAGTACAATACAGGAAGGAGACCAGGGGCGGAGAATGGTGGTGAGGGAAACAGAAATAATAGGGATGAAAATGGAGCAAATTATCTTCCATGCATGTATGATTGTGTCAAAATGAACCCATATGTTATGTATAACTCTAATGCACTAATAAAAACATTAAAACTGAAAAAAAATAAAGAAAAAAGAAGCTATGTAAATATTCTTGTATCCATTCATTCATCCATCCACCAAATAATTCTTGAACACACAATCTGTTCTAGGCCTGGAGCTACAGGATGGAAAGTAGAGCATGACTAGCCAGAGGCCCCCGACCTTGAAATGTTGGATATTTGGTGGTGGAGACAGAGAAAGGAACAGGGGCCTTTCAAAGTCTGGGGAGCCCAGAAGAAAGCAAGCTTCGTTACACAGCCCAGTGCAAAAGGCAATCCTTATATTGAGTCTTAACCAAGGAAGAGAAAGAAAGGAGGGAACAAGAAGCCATACTGGCATCCCCAGCACAGGGAACAACAAAGAATAGACCCAAATACCTCTGACCATGACCTAAGACTTACTGGGTAGAGATGTAACCAGGTGGCATTTGCAGACAGACTTTTCCAGTTCCAGCCTGCCTAAGGTAGCAGGTGGGGCCCTTGTAAGCTGCCCATTGACACCCTCTGGTAAGTGGGGGCTCTAGCAATGGACAAAGGGTGGGAGGAGGCAAAGGCTGGAGAATGATCAGCAGCCAGCCACAAAGCTCACTGGGACAGTAGCCTGGCAATTGAGAAGAGCCTGTGCATGCTCTTGCTCTTCTCTCTCTCTCTCTCTCTCTCTCTCTCTCTCTCTCTCTCTCTCTCACAGACACACACACACACACACATACACTCTCACACTCACACTCACAGGCAAGTGTACACACACAGTGAGCCCCTCCTTCCTAGCCTCCTTCCTGTGGGTCCTCTACATGTAAGGCCCAGCCCAAAGGCCATCCTGTCTCTGTAGGGTACCCCTGGGACAGGCAGAAAGGAGAGGTCCCAGGGTGTGTGAGTGTGCCACATGCCAGCCTCTGTCCCTCATGCTACCCTACTCCTGACTAAAGATCTGCTAATTTCAATGATGAAACTCCAGCCTAAAGAAATGATATTTTAATCAGTTTTACTGCTAGGATTAAAATACTTGATGAGAACAGCTTAGAGGAAGAAAGATTTATTTTGGCTGATGGTTTTAGAGGTTTCAGTCCATGGTCAGCTGACTCCATTGCTTTGGGCCTGTGATGAGACAGAACAACACAGAGGAAGGAAAGCTGCTCAGCTCGTGGCAGCCACAAAGGAGACAGAGAGAAAGGGGCCAGGGATAAGAAATAGCTCCCAAGGGCACAACCCTAGTGAACTCCTTCCCACAACAAGCTCCCAACTCCTCCAGTTCCCAATAATGCCTTCAAGTTATCAATACATTGATGTTGTCAGATCTCTGATGATCCAATCATTTCCCAAAAGCTCCCCCTCTAAATATTGTTGCATGGAGACAAAGCCCTCCTCATCTGAGTCTTCAAGTCTTTGGGGGATAATTCAGATACAAACCATAATAGATGATGATGTCAGAATCAGGACCACAGACCACCCTGGCTGTCACCTTCCATAAGATTTCAATGGGGGAAGACAAAATCCTCCTCACTGGCTCTTTCAGAATTTAATGGAAACCAAGAATTTCATATTTACCTAAATGGTGACCCAGTTTTCCACAGAGGCGATAGATAATCAAACACCTCAAGTGAATAGAGCTTCAGAATACACATAGCACATGCCAAACATTTATTCAGTTCACATCTGAAATCACCAAATTCAAAACTGTCTCAACACAACTTGGGGGGTCCCCGATGAGGCCACTAGGGTACAGAGGACAGGATGCAGACAGGGGTGTACAATGAGGCCCACTCACAGATCTTCACTGGGGTACAGGGCAACCTACACCAGCCTCAGACAGTTGAGCCAGATGTGCAGTCTCAGGCCTCACCCTTCTGTAGGGACCTGGCAGCACCTCCTTCATTCCTTCTGACTTTTATCCCACAGGCTGGTGTGACACAGTCTCAGGAAGACCCTGAAACCAGGGCCAAGCCTGGTGTTAGTTTCACAGTGATGATGTCTCTCCTTTGGCAGATGTTCTCCCAGGTGTCCCTGAGTCATCATGCTCCCCGTGGCAGGCCTGCTGGCTCTCTATCTGGAATCCGTTCACCTTTCTTTCCGTCACACAGAACACAGCCCAGGCACAGAGGTGCCAAGGCAGGTGAGCACAGCACCAGGCTGGGACAATTTGCAGGCCACAGTCTTCCTGCCAGTCTCCACTGTGGGGCAACCCAAGGGTGAAGGATCCCAACCAGAGTTTGAAGAAAGGACATTGAGAAGGAAAGAGAGGTTGGAGGAGAGGCCTAGTGGGAGACCCACAAAAAGAAGGGGAGTGGGCCCGAGGGATCACATGGTCACCAGGATGGCCTCAGGTAGCAGAAGACATATGAGTAGCATATAGACTCCCATGTGATATATATGAGAAGCCTGATTTACAGTGAGGTTCAACCACTTCTTAAAATAGATAACCTCTGTGTAAATAGCAGGTAGGAGATCACAACCGCACATGTAGCCCCAGCTCACGACACCTATCTGGATCCATGTGTTGTTAACTTCACAGGCAAGAGGGCCCCCAGAATCTCCCTGGAGAAAGAAAAACAAACAAACTGCAGGGATAGAAGAGGGTCCTCATCCGACCAGGCAGCACACCACCCGAGGTTCTGGGGAGAAAGACATGCACAGGGCTTCCTTCCCCAGGATCCCCAAAGGCACTGCCAGGCTCAGGTTCTCATATTCTCAGGGGAATATGAGATTTGACAGAAGGAGGTTGGTGTGGGAAGTTGAACATCCTCTGAGAAGTGCTACTCTTTCCTGGTGACCAGGGAAGAGGACACGGGACACAAAGCCAGCAGGGCCTATTACACCTGCAGTAAACTGACTCACTTTGGGTGCCCTACTCTTCCACTGCTGCTGACCCCTTCCTCATGACCCTTGCCAAAACCAC